GGGGTTATTCCTCCCTAGATGCAGGATTTTGTATTTCCTCTTGTTGAACTCCATGTAAGTCCTCTTGCCCCAGTTCTCTGCTACATTCTGCCCCATTGTCCAGGTTGTTAGTTATGATGCTGGACAATACCAGATTCAGTACTGAGCCCTGTGGTACACCACTAGTGACTTGTATCCAACTTGACTTTGTGCCACTGATTGCAACCCTCTGGGCCCAGTTGTTCATCTGGTTTTCAATCCACTTCACTGTCCGCTTATCCAACCTGTATTTTGTCAGCATGTCTATGAAGTGGATGAGATGAAGTAATGGGAGACAGTGTCAAAGGCTTTGCTAAAGTTAAGGTTAACAACATCCACTGCTCACCTCTCATTCAACAAGCTGGTCATCTCATCGTAGAAGGTAATGTAGTTGGTCAAGCACAATTTCTCTGTGACATCTCTTTATCAACAATGGTTGAGTTTGTAAGAAGCTGCAAGAACTACCCTTATCTTAATCTTACCAGGCAGCAGCAGGCACCTTCAGTTTCCTCAGAGGTTTCCCAGAACTGCCCAAATCCCCCCAAAAGTGCCAAGAAGTTCAAGAAGATCTCAAAATGATCTTAAAGAAGCTGAAACCGCTGCACAAATTGCTGTTGTTTTAGGTGTGTGCTGGGCCTGGCTCTTCTTTACCAACTGAGAATGAAAAATGACTATTTCTAGATTCCACAGTGTATCTGTCTGAGAAAGTTGTCTTGATGTTTCACATTAATTTTTGGAATTTCAGTGAATTTTTTGAATTCACTGAAATATTATATTAAAAAATTAAATAATTTTCAGGAAAAAAAAGAAGTATTGATAAAAAAATACCTCAAGCTCAAGAAAAATCTCTGCTACAAAGAAATAAAGCATTAATTTCCAAAACCTTTGGAATTGTACTTTGGAAATATAAATTTCACTTCGCTGCACTTAACAGGGTTAAGGAAGAGCCTAGAAAACTACATGCAGTCTGCAATTGTAAGTAGTAGAAATTTTTAAGAAAGTTTAGCAACGTAACAAAATTATTTGAAGACAGAAAATTCTCTACACTGGGAGCTGAAGGACCTTAGTTGAATTTTCACAAAAATAAATGGAATAGTGATATGATTACAGAGAAAGAAACTTTAAATCTCTCTTTAACATAAAGCAGACATTAAAATAACCCATTGTTGGAGGCTTAAACTACATGCCCAACTGTAAAATAAAAAGCACATTTTGAATTGTAAGATTGACAGGAAACATTGGAACAAAGAAGTCAAGACCTGTGAAGTCTCTGCTATTGGTGTCTTTCAGATGTAAACAGAGCATTTGTGAGAGAGATACTTAAGTGCAGAAACACTGAGAAAAATAATAAAGTCCTGCATAATCCAGGGAGCCAGAAAGATGGTGTAGTTGTCCAGTGTTGTTTAAATTCCACACAATGGTAGGTTAGCACCCAATCTTTCTATTTTTTTGTTGGCAAGTAATACTGGACCAGGGACTGAGTAACATCTATTTACCTCCTGAAGCTTCTGATGCAATTCTGAGCACTGGTGTAACAGTATCAAGTTGCTGTGGTAGTAACATGCTGCTCTGAATGCCTGAAGCCCTTATGAGGGACACTGAAAAATTACGTATGAATGTAGTGCCCACAGAATGTTCTAACATTTCTCATACGGGAATGAGGAAAAAAGAATGAGTATCTGTTTCTGCTGGCCCACTTCTCCCAGTGAACAGTTCTTAAAACAAAGGCTACTACTCAGCAAGGTCTCTGGTCTAACATAAACCATTTAACCAAAGGTAACAAAACTAAAAAAATTATATGAAGTCAACAGTAGAGCAAGGAGAAATACTGGCCCTTTGTAAGAACAGCAAAGGTCTGAGGACTCCTTGCACCCACAGGAAAACACAAGGCTGGCTAACACATATGAGTGGAAGTGGGTACCATGGCAAAAGGAGAAACATATGGGCAGTACATGCTCATACAAAATTCAACTAAGTTCACTTAAGATACCGTCACAACAAAGAGAAACTCTAAATGAGCATTGTACGTGTGTCAGGCTGGTTGAAGAGTCACATATAAGTTCACTCTGTGGATATGGCCAGAGTATCACGCAGGTACTACTTCTTCTGTTGTAACTGTTGGTTTCCTCTTCCCAGTAACACCCTAAATAAGGATGCACCATGTATGATGAATCGAGTATCTTTTGGTCTTGTAGAGCTACAGTAAATTCTAAGTAGTTTCTTTTGTGTAGATACAGAAGGATGGTACTAAACATGAAGCCAATTGCTTCACTTTAGCTCGCAACTCTGTTCCTCCTTTTCTATTGCTCTGCAAAGGAAACAAGCTATGTAAGTCTGAAGATTGTTATTTGTGCTACCCCATTGCTCATGAAGGTTGCTCTCTTCTCCTGCGTAAGCTAGCTATATGCAGAATGAGAAGACACAAAAAAAGGAGATGAGAGGAAAAGGTGTCACAGTACGTGAAGAAAGAACGGGAACTAAGGAGTTCACTCCTGTAAACATAACCAATGCACTTGCTAAATGCTAGACTGTTAATGTGTTTGTTTAGTAAGGAAAGAAATATTTATGTATTTTGTTACTAGAGCAGTATGAAAGAAATAATATGCATAAGAATACAATTTTTATTTACCATCACACTTGTTCTCCATGAGTGTACTACTTCAAATTTTCAGTAAAAGAGTCAAAAAACAGAGCATGCATCCTGATACAGGATCCTTTAACGCTGCACAGATCTAGTCAAAGAGCTTTCAGTGCTTTGTTTCTCTCATTCTGAATTATCTCCCTACAGTACATTTCTGTAAACATATCACATCAGTGTGTGCTGTTTTCTGCAAACTCTTTCGTCATTTGGGACATCTGGAAAGCATCCAGGCAGACCAACTTGGACAGAAGACATTTCACACACTTTTGTCATCAATTTCCATTGCTGACTTATTTGTGTACCAACATTTAAATGTGTGAGAACTTAAACTGCTCTTTGACGTAGGAGAAAGATCGTATCCCAGCACCATCATACAGTAGTAGTACATCAGATCACCAAGCCACAGAAAGCGACATATTTAGTATTTTAATAATCACATGTTGACCCAAATGATACCACATAACTCTGTCTACAGCATATCCGTTAGACAAAAGCTGTTACCACTTTATTTGAAATAATGCATTGACCTCTTTACTCTTGAAATAAACAACCCACAGTCATCAACTGATGCTGTGACGTTGTAAATTTGTGCTTGTAAGCCAATTTCACATGTTGTGAAAAACTTGTTACTTCATATAATTTGAAAAATTTGGAGGATCTGCTGTAAGTAGAACAGAGGAACATGACATCTATAATTAAATAAAAAGGAATATTTAATAGCCATTGGATGTGCTCTGTCCTGTTTATCATTAAACAGAGCAGAGATCTCGTTACAAACAGTATGTTATTGTGTAATTAAATGTATTGGAAATGCAAATGCACTTGGGATTTGAATTAAGACTGCAAACTGTGTTATTAATTCTTGGGTGGGGGCAGTGAGCAGAAAGAGTATTGTTGTGAACATCTCACTGGCAGAAAGATAAAGACAGATGTTGGGGCTCTACAGGCTGCTGTTCCCATTGTTTGGCTCAAGGCAACCCTATGCATGGCCAAGATTGTAAAACAATCAGTGCTCCTGTTTTTACAGAGATTGGAGAGAGACATCAGTTCAATTTTATGCGAGGATAAGAAGTTTCCATGATGAATTTCTCAACCCCCTGATTTCCACTGCAAAATGAAAAGAAAAAAGTATTTCCAGATTCATTTATCCACTGTTATATATAATACAGTGTAATAATTTTGAGTCTTTGCCTCAAAAAATTAAAAAGTTCAAAGAGTGATGTCTCTTAAGCACAGCCATATTTATAACTGTTCCTGAAGGAGAATTAATAAATTGTGTTTCTGCACATTCAATACTCCACAGAAAAATTCTCTGTAAAACTTAAATAATCTCAGCTTTCTTATTTTCACATTCAACTTAAGTGAAATTTACTACTATTTTTATAACTTGAAAACCAATATAAAACAGAGCTTTGGGGCCTACACACTATTACTCATTTTGTTCAATAACTGCTCTTCTGTTATTATTATTATTAATATTGGAAATATTAAACTGGCCTTTAATAATTCACTGTAGTTGACTAAGATCAATGATGAGTAATACTGAAGCTTTCCACTTCAGGTAATTTAACCGAGATACTAAATATCAAGTTGCCTAAACAAACCAAGAATTATTGAGAGATCCATCTTCAAACCTATAAACTGGGCACAGTTTAATTAATAAAAATAGTGAAAGTTTTGAGTCTGAATATATTCCCAAACTTTTAGGAGCAGACTAGATTATAAACTCTCAAAACTAAATTATTTCTTGCAAAATCACATTCATAAATATTTGTTATCTGTTCTACTGAACTACCAAATTCATTAAGTCAGAGAAACCAAAAACATGACACGGAGAATCCATCCAGTCAGTTACTTCATTATATTAAAATTCTGAATAACCAAAGATTTACTTCATGTCTCAGGCATAATCTCTTCCCCCACTTTATGTATCTCTCTTTTTTGTTCTGACACTTGCATAATGGCATGTACAACAAAACTTGTGTCACTAGTACTGTTTTCTGTTAATATTTTTGATAATAACTTTAATATTTTTGCATATCTTAGATGTACTAAGGCATGGTCTATCAGCAATAAAATGAAAGTTCCTGAACAATTTTAATATTCTTTCACTTAAAATTACAGCAGAAACATCTGTGCTGCCAGTCATTAAAACACTTTAGATGGTTGACATTGCTAAACCTCCTTTAACTGAGGAGAAATGTAAAATGTCAAAGCTCAGTTTGTTGTCAGCATACTTCATACTCAGCTGCTACCTTTCCATTTTTTATTAGTGCTTAGAAAGAAGTCACACATCAAGGTCAGTTAGCACACTCACCAGTTGTTCACCAAGTTTACTCACCCTTTGACCTTCTTTGCCAGGTGGGCCTTGTGGACCTTCCAGCCCTGGCAAGCCCTGAAAATACAAACATTAAACAAATATAACATTCAGTGTTATTTTCATCTTCTATTATTCTATAGAAGTAAGGCTAAGTCAAAGAGCCAGATGTCAAGACAAAGCATTTTTTTTTCTAATAATAAAATGAGGTTATTCATAATAACTTATTTCAGGACAATATCATATTCAGGAGTGAGAAAAAATGCAAAAAATAATTATTAATCACATTCCTCCATATAAAGGCTGGAAAAGAAGAGTTAAGTCAGCACTGCTTAAGCATAGGTATAATTAACTACGGTGTTATATGAAAAGTGATTTATCTTGTTAAGTTAGGGTGCCATAAGAAAAAAGAAAAATAAGCTATATTAAATGAATGACAACTTACTCTACAAATTCAAAGATAGGCACTGAAGGGGGAGGGGAAGGGAAGGGAGGGGAGGAGAAGGGGACTAAATATAGCAGAAGGCCTTATGCTCACTGCATTGTAAGAACCAGCCCTGTGCAGTTTCCTCCCTGTGCCTGGCACAGCTTTTCCAGACCCTTCACAGCCACGTCTCTCCCCCTCTCCCTTGACCAGGCACAGGAGCTGTGGGTGTTTTGAATATATCCTTGACTGTGAACCTTCCTTCTGACCTCAGTGCAAGGACCTCTGCAGTCACAGACATAATCACAGACTGCTCCTAATGCTTTGGAGCTCTGATTTTATGTCTGATTAATATATGATACAATCACAAAGCCTTTAAGCAACAGCTCTGTACTAAGAACAGGGCCCTCCCACATTTACTTCATGAGTCACCTTCAAATACAATTTTTTGAAAAAATATTACTTTAAGGAAGCTATCCAATTTCCATTATAGCAACAAGAAATATTTTCCAAGAAGGAGTTTCCAAGAAATAGTTTCCAGGTAATCAGCAAAGAGGACTGAAAAGTTCTACTTTCTATGATAATAATAAAAAAAAAAGTATTGAATACAGTATTGCATATTCTTACAGGTTATAACAAAATTAAAGAATTTGTTTGTTTTTTAAGATTTTTAAATATTAAAATATTAAATTCTTAACCATTTAAATTACTCAGACTCAGGTATTGCTTCAGCTTGAGTTATGTCTGATCAAATTCTGAACTTATTTAGAATCAATTACATATATTTATTGCCCCCCATAGAGTAAACAGGCACTCTGGGAATCATGTTTTTGAAAAGTGTTCAGATTTCCAGAAAGTAATTAAAATTTCATTTATGATCTACAATTCCAAAGATAAACTTGAGAAAGTAAGTGGGCATGCCAAAGCTCCCAGCTTATATAGCTTCAAGTGATGCTTTAAATTGATTAGCCTGAAGTCTGACTTCAACTTTAAACAAAAGTAGTCAGCCCAAGAGTTTTCCTATTGCTATCATTTCTCTATGTTCAAACACTGAAGCTAGAAGAGTACCTCAGACTGTATTTCACTATAGGATATTTCTCCTTTCACTTCAGTTTATAATGAATCAAGTCAAGGTTTAGGGTCTTTTAGAAAATTGATGCGCACCATTTCCATCTTTCCCCCAAAGTTTACAGAACCAGAATATGCATGACAATGTTGTGTTCAACAAATAAATCATGGTAGGTTAGTTACAGTGCAGTTATGTAGCTTATACATGCACAAAAGCAAAAAGCAGAATGTGAATGTGACCTCTGTAAACCTCCACTTCAAGGTAGATTGGAACTTGCAGAGGATTCTATCTGTCCAACTATTAGCAATATTCCACCTTTGTAGAGAAATTCTGGAAATTCAGGAAGAGGTTGAGTTTTGTTTTGTTAATATTTAATTTCTAGTGACAGCTTTATGCAGTGGAGGGAGATGAAAACTTGTAACGTCTGTTCTGTGGAAGAGGAAATACTTAGACTCACATATCTGTGCAATAATGCTTCAAGGGAACAAGAATTACACAAGAACGTAACTGTGCAATGATGATAATTAATAGCCAACATTTTTGTCCAATGCCTACTTTTATTCTTTTTCTTCTCTCTACAATACTATTGTCAAGAAAAAGGAACTAGATAAGGAGGTTTATCTTCGAGGAAAGGGAGGAGATCAGCTTACAATTGGTAACTAGGCAGGGAGGACTACCCTGTACAAGGAGCCACATCCTGACATTGAAACTGAGGTAGAAGTTCACACTCACTTGAGTGGGATCTTTGGTTTAAAAAGTGATAGGACAACATGGGCTATGTTAACTACCACGGCTATAAAGCTACAATAACTTGGCAACAATGACGACTTAGCAATGCTATTCCTGTTCAGCACTGGATGAATGAGATACTGGAAAAACAGATGAAGAAACCTGAATGAGGAATGAAAAGAAAACTTCTCTACAGTGAAATCTGCCTAAAGGGATGAATAATATATACCGTGTTGAACTCATAAAAAACTTGGTTATGAGTATAACAGTTTAGCACAGAAAAGAAGTACATATTTGTAGGAAGGCAGACCGAAGTATTTACTTGGGACTTATTCCTGTTTAACTTGTGGAGATCTGGCTTTGAAGATCAAAGATCAGATTCTCTGCTCCCTCAAATCATGGATGGCACAGTGGTTAGATAAACCCCACCAAAAGAGCCTGCCACTGCAGACAGGAAGGGACAGAATATAGACTGAATACATATACATGTGGCCTCATGGGATATACCATTGATTGTGTTAAAAACGTTTATGTCAGAAGGCATTTTTTTACATATTTTGCATGTACCATGTCCCCTGGTAAACAACATCCAAAGCAGTTAAAATGATTCACTATGTCTTACCCTGATAGTTGCACTGGCAAGATGGCTGGAGTAGCAATGAGCAAAAGGAGGTGTCAGAAAAGCACAAGGCAAAGTGAGATATAAGAACAGCCTATTGCTATGGCATCAGGCTGGAAGGAAAACATAATGTATCCTTACAGATGGCCTAATATCCACAGGATTTTCCTGAATCTGTCAGCCCAACTCTGAAGTTGTAAGGTGGTAACTTTCTACCTAACTTCATGGAGAAGTGAACTAAAATAATGTGTATAGTGTTTAGGTCTTTTACCTGCCATGGACCAGGCAAGCCCCTTGGAGTTACCTGCCTGACGGAGCCTTTAGGAACACGAAGTAGATATGCCTCAAACATTACCATGTAGCTTGGGGAAAAAAATGTCAGTACGCTGAAGATGGGCTCAGGTGCAACTGAAACTGAGAAGATCTGTTACAATAAGTGAGGATGGCTATGAAAAAAGATGAAACATGATGCACACACAGGCACAAGAGAGTTGTACAGAAAACTTGAAAATCAAGTTAAGAGACGAAACTTGTGAATTCCTTTATAAGAGGTAAACCACAAAGGGAAGTGTTGGCAATGGAAAAGATGCTGGTTATGAAGCTAAAGAAAAAACAAGAATTCTGTGAAGCACATCCTAAAAGATATTTAAACCAAGTATCATCAAAGTTTAGGCTCACTTTAGACTAAGCTTTAATCAAGGGAATACAGGAAAAAATTACAGGTTTAAAAACACTATAGTAGGTTAAATGAGCTCTTAAATTGCATGTTATTGAAAATATCTCTGGGAATGAAAATTTTAATACTTAACAGTTAATATTTTTGGAAGTATCAGGAGAGAAAAGCTAATAAGAATTATCAAACTTGAGATGGTAAAAAAAAAAAAATTAAATGTGTTTGCAAGTGATAGAAAACTCAGCTAACAGCTCAGACAGTTAAGCTGTTTTAAGTTTCATAAGCTATCAATTTGAAGTGTATTAATTGGTATGTAGCTATCAGAAGCTGCTTACTACAGGACTAAGATCCTGTCATGTGATCCTCCAGGTACAAAAACCTTTTTAAATGCCTGACACATCACAATAAGCATCTGCAGAGACATGGTGGAGACTTGGTTCACAAATTTAACTGCCCAGAGTAACTGTCTAAGAACACACTCTGAACAAAAGCAAAGCTTGTATTGTGACCTCTTGGTGAATTAAAACAAAACAAAACCCCCAAAAAATCCCAGCTGAAGTGGAAGATAGAAGTTACTTAAAGTTGCTATTCGTATTACTTCCTCTAGAAGCTTACGGCCAATGCCAAAAGAATAAAATATTCGTCAAGTAAGTATATTTTTTGTATTCTGAAAGTTGCTTCAAAGCATAGCCGACAGTTTTTGAAGCAGAAGACTAAACAGTTGCCTTATTTACTTGAAAGCAGTGCTGTTGAAACAGCTTCTGAGCATGGCAGCCTCTTACTCTCAAACACAATAAAAATGCGAACAATAACAAGGTAGGTCTAACTAAGGCACAAAAATTACTTCACTATAGACCTTTATAGACTGGTTTCTATGTTCTATACACAAACTACTCTCATCTGTTTTTTTCCTCACTATGAATTCCAACAAACACATAAGTTTGATTTTTATGGAAAAAATGCTACTAGGCAGGGAGAAAGTGGATGTAGTTTAGTGACAGAAGTCAAGTAAAGAAGGACACAAAGCCTAAATTAGGTATGTAATGCCACCTAGAAGCATCTAGCAGTAATGGAAGAATAGGTTCTTTTATTAATTATTTGAACACGCAAGCTTTTATAATGATAACTCTATTTTAGAAAGACCCAGTTATGATAGACATTATTTGGTTAATGAATTTGTGGGCAATATGTTTAAAACCAGAATAGTATAGGTCTCTTGAGGCAAAATCAACACTTAAACTTTTTTACAAGCAAATTAGTGAGCAATTCCCAGTATAGGGGCTTGACCTAGTTCAGCCTCACTGACTTGAAAAGCATTTCTCAGCCACCCAAATACTGCTTATGGGATGGATGGTGCTGCTGTGGCTGCATTCATGCATGAATGTCCTAGAATCCCAGACAGGATGCATCAAGATGCAGTTTATTAGGTCTTAAATTCATCTACTTATCTGGAGGTATATATGGAGGTGACAAGTTCTATTGTGCAGGTCATGACTGTTAGTGTCTCTTCTATCCTATTTTGAGGATATTTTCCTCTTCAGACTTCTTGTACCATATTGAGGGG